TATAAATATATTCAGGTATATAAATATATAAATATATAAATATATAAATATATAAAATATATAAATTTATAAATTTATAAATATATAAATATATAAAATATATAAATATAAATATAAATATAAATATATTAATATATAAAAAAATATAAATATAAATATATTAATATATAAAAAAAATATAAATATAAATATATTAATATATAAAATATATATATAAATATAAATATATTAATATATAAATAGATAAATATATAGAGAGAGACTCGTGTTCTTACTGCTTGCTAATGAATTACCAGGAAATAGCCAGAGTTGTACAGCTCCGAATGTGAGTTACAGACAACATGTAGTGAGATGGGTGCCCCATGCCGCGGTGCAAATTTAGAAGCCACAGAGTTTGGACGCAAATTTAACAGCAGAGGATTAAGAGACAAGTCCCAGCAACAAAAGCTGTCGTTTTGCTTAATCTGTGTAACTCATTATCGGAGACTTTAAAGACGAAATGCTCAGTGAAGACGCGCGTCAGGCCAGCCACATACATGGTCTGGAGTTTCGCAGGCCATGGTGATATGGTGTTGTAATGAATGGTGATGTGGCTTTGTCCCTTGTCCCTTGTCCCCAACTGTCCCCATGTTCCCGCCCCCTGTCCCCTAAGTGTCAGACCCTAAAGGTGTTGTGATGCAGATGTGGCTTTGTCCCGTGTCCCTTGTCCCCAACTGTCCCCATGTCCCCGCCCCCTGTCCCCCAAGTGTTACAGCCTAAAAGTGTTGTAATGAATGGTGATGTGGCTTTGTCCCTTGTCCCTTCTCCCCAACTGTCCCCATGTCTCCGCCCCCGGCCCCCTAAGTGTCAGACCCTCAAGGTGTTGTTGTTTATGCCCAAAGAGAACCTGATTTGTGCCCAACGTGATCCTCTGTGACCCATGCGTTGTGATTTAGGACCAAAGTGATCCCAACCTTTTCGCAGGTGATATATGCTCAAAGTGTTCAAATATACCCGATAAAATGCTGACCTGAAGAGCCTTTTCCGCAAACCGTGGGGCTTGCGGGCCCGCAAGCCCGCGATGGGCCCATATAAGCCCGCGAGCCCGCGAGCCCGCGGTGCCGCGCTAGTCTTGGGCAACAAGGGGACCAATGTCGAGAAAAAATTGGAAAATGGACTGGAGTAAAACTGCTCGAGGATTTCTACAAGTCCCTTGTATGAAAATCTTGCAGTAATCTTATCGGGAACTTTTGTTAGGAAATGTTTTTCTTAGTTCGTTTGCCGGGACCAAAAATATGTTGCCAAAAAAGTATATAACAAAATGAGATCATTGTTCATTTGCCTGATCTGAATATCGGAATATGTTCATTGAAATTACACTTTCGTAAAACTACGCACACAGGAATTGGTGAAAACAAAAAACATGCACTTTAGGAGTCAGTGATGGCCGAGTAATTCTCACACAAACAAATCCAGTAAACAACACTGTCGCGAGAAGGTAGTTTGGGATGCTAGCTGCTTGTTGGCAAGGCTTTGCTACACCCAGCTAACAACATTTATCGTCAAATATGTTGTGTCGCGTTTTCGTTGTGGTTTCCGAGCGTCGACTGGCATTGCCGCACCAGATCCGACTAATCACATGTTCAAACAATGTGAGGTGAAACAAAATTGATTTTTGATCTTTGGCTGCAACTCCTGTGCTTATTTGTTTCATTTGACCTCCTTGACAACCTCTTCTCAGCATAGGCAAACAATTACACCCTGCCCCACACCCTCTACGGTGTGCAGGTGCGTAGCAACGTGTTTCCCACAATGCCACTCCATCAAGTCGGCGTGCAAGTGCGTAGCAACGCCATTACACCCCACCCAACCCCTTCAAGACATAGTAGCAACGCTGAAACATTCAATATTGTAATAAAAACATTCGCCCCCTGGCGCCATTTCACACGGCTCAGCAAAAACAAGACACCATCACTGTACATTGTCAACTGTCATGGTGCACGTTGTCGCTTGTTTGGATTACGGAAGTCTGCGATATTGGTTTCGTGTTGCCACTAGAGTCATTAGAGGTAAGGTTTCGGTTTGTGGTGGTTGGCCAAGGTCAAAAGCTTGCGCTCGAAGCTGGTCATACGTGGCGACAAGCCAAGACCACCAAACTCGGCAGTTGGGACCTTAAGATTCTGATCGCAATGGGAATGTTGGTGGCATTGGTTTGATAGGTTCTTCAGGACAGGATTCGAATGAGGGCACCCCAGAAATTTCAGATCAAATTGATTTGCAGACGCCAAGGCCCATACCATTATATCGGGACGGGCTCCCAGGGCCAGGCTGGAGTCCAAGGAGTCAAAAGTTCGTTTTGGTTGGAAATTGATGTGGGATATGTCTGGTTGCCAGGTTCAATTCTTTCTTGCTTGTGCTGATTGGTTGCTGGCAGATGAAACATCATGCCACAGAGACAAATTAGTACATTTCTTCGCGTATATATTTTTATGTTTTAAATTGGTGATCCCTTATGAATATATATTTTTCATTGTCAGTCGCCAAAAAGAATGTTTCCATTCCTCTTGCAACTGGAAACGTTAAACTTACCATTTTTCAACCTTCCAACCAACCGTTCCTCCCCACCCTAAAGAGTTTCCCCACTCATAATTAAGTGGCGAACCCATACCGAAGTAATTTTTAAGGACCCTTACGTTCCCACCCCTGCCAAACATGTCGTACCCAATTTTTTTTTGAGTAGTAATGCATGGGTTTTACCATTGGAAGTGAGTGAACGGTTTCACCCGGCATAAGGGAAACTTGTGATGGCGAGGCACCTGAGAAGAAGGTGTTGGAAGTGATTTCCCGCAAGGTTTGCAACAGGCTGGAGAGACTTTTGCAACGGTTCGAACGGTGCAGATGAAGGCTCAATGAAGGAATGTGGCAAACCAAAAATCATCCTACAATTGGGATGGTTTATGCAACCCATTTAGGTCCATTCTCAATTCTCGTGTGCATAATTTTGGGATCCTGTTACTGCTGGATTTACCTCATTATTCTCATTCAGATAAATTCCGAATGCATCTCATGGGTTGTTCTTATCTCCAAGAGAGTGGTAGGAGGGTTGTTTGTTCAATTCTGGGGCACAAAGTGTCAGTGTGCCCTTGCAACACTCCAGGAGGCTCTCCGTTTGTTCATTGTTGGCAATGTGCCTTATTCTTTGCGACATGCTCTCCATAACAAAAGCGGTGCACAAAGGCACAAATCACGATATATCGAGACAGCGTTGAATAGTGAAAGTGCATGTGCCTTCGATTGTTTAGAAGGGCAATGGCTGAACTGTGGTCAAAATGTTGACATGTGTTGTGGAAAATTTCTAGGATGAACTGATGAACACGAAAGAAATGTCAGCTGCCCGCCATAATAATTGAGAGGAAAACACTACATTACATGCATTCTTTAAATCATTTCATATCCCACGAGTGATGTGGATGCAAGGTGCTAATGGTTTGCTTTTTTGAAGACAGGGGATGTCGTGTGGATTGCAGGAATGCTTTGACGCAACTCCCCAATCCTCGAAGATATACTCTACACCATCCAACAGTCTCAGCCCCGGATTTTTTTGATTGATGTTGGCTTGGAGAAATTGATTGGTGGTTGAGTGAGGCGGAACTTGGTTTGAGTTCACTTGAAGCTTGAACCCTGGGCATGTATACAAATTTTACTAGTCTGATGTTGGTATGTCTCACATGGAGACGCCGAGTTACAATTCGAATGCGATGATGTTTTGGAAACCTTCGGCGAGAGCCTCATCGACGTAAGGAGCCTGAGTTCGGCGCAGGGCACTGGGGAGGGCACCGTCAGATTTCTTCCCATGGTGCGTTGGTGGAAAAACTATAGATTCCTGAGTTTCCATAGTGGATGCCTATGCTGAACGTTTATGTCCCCAGAACTGGTTGAAGAAAACAATTACCGGACCCCCCTTGGATTTGCTGGGCTAGTAAACACCATGGTTGCCCGTAATTTTTCTCCTAGCCAACCTATTCCTAGAACTCCGAACAAAATGCGAATTGCACCAACAACAACAAACTCAACAAACTCAACAATTCCAACCCCTCTTTGGCAGTGGCACTTCCGTCCGGGGCGTCGCCGTGGCATCCAAAAGGCGCTGACTTTGGGCGAAGACTTGGCAACTTTTTGTGTAGACCTCAGATGGGTTATCCACCATCTTTCATGGTTCCAAATACATGGGGTTTCAGCCCCTACAGCAACCATTGGCTTTTGGGGTGTATATAGTATATATATATATAAATATGAATTGCGTATGATGGGGTTGATGCCATTTTGGACCAGGTCCCCAACCAAATGCGCCTGACGGCCTCAAACGAACCTCCGTACCTTGAACAACTCTGCCTGAAACATCTTTGAGCCTACTCGGCAGGAAATGAATATGGTCACAGAAAATTGAAGCTTTGCGGCTAAGTTTCTCACTTGCCTCGCTATACTGGGGTCAGACTTTCAAACTTAGTGGGTGAATAAAGCATTTGAAAATCTTTCGATTTTGTATCACTGCTGCAGGTAATCAGTGGCAGATCCCTTAGTTCTCCGACCGCTGGTGCCATGCAGGTTGGGATATAGACATCTGCGGTTCAAGGCGGTGTGACAATGGGGTGGAGCTGAAAGACAAAGCTTCAGATGTGGATCCAGTGGATCCGTCATTTTTCAGTGCCTTTCAGCCTGCTTGATGTACCTCTCCCTGGCATGTCCCCAGGGACGAGAAATTCTTTGATTTCGAACCCGAAGATGACGATGATGACGATGATGAGGCGCGTGAATTTCCGGTCGAGAGAGCGTCAGACGCGAGGTCAGTGAAATTCTTGTCCCATTTATTCTTAGTTGCTCTTTTTCACCGTGCTGTGTTTCCGAGTCGTTCTCCAGAGTATGAGCACGCTGCGTTTGTGTTCCGAATTCCTAGAGCGCATTGAAGTCCTGAGATTTTTTTTGGGTTTGGGAAAATATCTTGAACCATTTGGGCTCAGATGGCGGGCGTGCAGGGCACGCAGGGGCTACAGACATGGGCCTTCCACGCCACGTGATCTCCTTGGCGTGAAGCCATGGAGCTGCCCGAGTTCCGTTGCGGCTCCCCGGCCTTGGCCTCTCGTGGAAGCCGCCGGAAGCCGGAGGACTTGGTGGTGGAGGGGAGCCCCGATGACAGTCCACCAGCCACAGCGAGGCCACCAGCACATGGCATTGTGAGGGTACATCGCTTTGCAGCAGGCAGAGCCCTGGCACTTCTCCACGCAGCGCACAGCGGGTCGAGCCCTACGCGTGGTAAGAAGGCGATGTCTCTGGATGGAGCCATCCCTCCCGAGGAACGGGCTTCACCTGAAGGTTGGCAAGGCCCTCTTTGTCCTCCCAGTGGCGCTAGTTTTCGTGTTGCCAGGAGGCAAAGGCTCGGAAAGATGAGACACAGCAGCGATGATTCTGAGAGCCTTTCCACCAGGGCCGGCTCGCCCAATCATAGCCCTGATGAAATTGAGACCCAGGCGTGGCCAAGCCATGAGTTGGAAGAAAAAATCAGGAAACCAAGGTCCGAAGTGAAGCTGACGCTCCCTATTGCCATCCGGGAACCATCCTCCGCAGAAGGTACATCCAGCTTCCAGAGCTTTCCTTGTCCGGTTGCCAGTTGGACTGAAGCTAAGCAGGAGGCAAAGGAGGAACCCACATCCTGGAGAGCTCCAGGCCATGTTCCCATCGATTGTGTGATTCGGAGACGAAAGAAGCGAGCCAAGGAGTTGCGGCTGGCTTTGCCCTTCCCAGTGCCCAAAGATGATCCACGATTTGGACATTTGATTGAGACTGAGGGGCAAACATGTCAGGTACCCCGAAGTCAATCCAGCTTTGCGTGGGTTTAGGAAATGTTAGCAATGGGCCCCTTAGAATGAGGGCGATGAGTGATGAGGTCCATGGGCGTATACTCCACAGTAGGAAGATGTGTCAATAGGAGTCAAAAAATCGCTTGTTGGCCAGATTTGGCCAGATTCTGCATGTGATGTCCACAACCTGATGTGTTTCAACGACCTCATCGCCTTCTGGGGCTCCATTCGCCTTCGTGCTGGTTGGCTAGCACCACAGAGATCCACCATTTTCATCAAATTTTCATCCATTTTCCCTTAGGCGATCCAGCGCCGGAGGCTGCAAAAGAGCTGCTGGGGGCTGGATTTTCGGTCATGAGCTAGCAACATGATGGAACATGGAAATCCAACATGAATCAGGTTGTGCCTTGAAGTACCCTTGAAATATTTGAAGCTTAGTCGGGGTCCGGGGTTCTGTTTTTTCTTCCTTTCACAGCAGCTGATGGAGTTGATGGGGCTACATGTCACCAGGGCTTGAGATGGCGCCAGGACGAGTCAGCAAGGAGTGAGGGCCAAGATCTCTAAGGCATTGCCGCGCTCCATCAATGCTTCCAATGTTTCCAGAAAAAATAGGCTCATAGGGGCCAAATCCTTCTAAACCAAATCTGAATTTGTTTCTTGATTCTTTTCTCAGCACTTAGAGGATTTGCAAAGAAGTTGGCGCACCCGTTGCATAAGAACGCTCTATGCCAGTTGCACATAGTTAGACGGCGATGGAGAGAAAGACCAGCATACCCTTGGCCCATTGGCGGATGAGCCATCCGCCTTGTTTCGTCTATGCGTTTGTCGACCGTAAGGGACTTCAGGTCGTGGGCATGGCTTCGGACTTGGAGAAAAGACGCGCGCTGGAATTAGTGCGGTAAACCCCACCCTACTCCACTTACCCTGTTTGACCATTTGGGTGGTATTCAAAAATAGCTAGGAAGACGGGGTCTATTGTTGGGTTTGCCACATTGGTGCAGAACTACAGTGTTCCAAACGTCAGAAGTGTTTGGCATAGTCAGGGCTCAAGAGGTGCACCCAAAATTGGGGTGCCCGTTGAACGGGGTGCCCGTTGAACGGGGTGCCCTGTTGACGTGCTGCGGGAGGATTGGCGACCGGTTTTTTCTTTTCGTTTTTCCAGTGGATTAAATGTGAACTATCGGGGATTTATGGATTATATGAATAATACTGATCATATATGATTATATGATTAAGTGTCATGCGCATGTTAACGATTGTCATTGTCATATTGTTACTGCTATTAGATTCAGCCACAGCAAGAACATGCAAATTTGGAGGCAAGGCAGAAGGTCAGCAAAGGACACTCAGAACTTCTGCAGGAGACTTGGCCCCAGATGACCAGTGGAATGAATCTTCCGGTTGCATCGTGCGGGCCCAAGGTGTCAAGTCGCCGCACCTCGATATTCACACAGAGATCAGTAGCGGTTGCACAATATATAGACAAATACACACACACATATATATTTATATTATATATATATATGTATATATAAATGTATATGGATGGATGGATGGATGGATGGGTGGGTGGATGGGTGGGTGGGTGGGTGGATGGATGGATGGAGAGAGGGAGAGAGAGAGAGAGATATATATATAATATATAATATCAGATTCGTCACTTGACGCGGATGCATACACACTTATTGCATCTTTATTATCGGAGCATAAGGTGGACAATCCAAGAATCAACATCTCCGGGGGCATAATCCCAAAGGGTTAGCTTGAGCAACTTGGGGGCGGTTGATTGAGTGTGCCACATTAGGAAAGTCCTTTGGCTAGCTTATGTGAGGCCTGGTCGGGCCCCGAGTCGCGTGATTACGCAGAGCCCTGCAGTGGGTTCGGGCCACAGTTTCTAGATGTGGGGACGGGCCAGACAAAGGCTACCAAACGAACCTGCAGATTTTTGTAGGCCTTATGGTGTGTATGTATATATATACAAACAAATATAGACATATATATTTGTATATATATATGTACACATATGCATATATATATATATATGTATACATATATTTATACACACAAGTGTAGTTGCCGAGAAGGATGTAAAGACATTTTCGGGCTGCTGTGTCGAATGGTTTGGCTCAGGTTTTCGTAGCATGCTCACTGGCCCTGGATATCCTGTGGCCATGGTCACCATTGCCCGCAACGCCAAATCAATGTGGATCGCTCAGTTCTCACCGATCCTGATGAACTATCTGAGCGGTGACCGTGTAGAAAGATTGGAAAGGACGAATGTATTGCTTGAAATTCGATGCCCAAACCGTTTGCAACTTTCCTTCTTTCTGATCCTTTTACTTCCCTGAGGTGTGATTTGCAGGCGCCTTGAGCTGTTTCCTCTCCGCCGAAACCTCTACGAAGACCCCCGGTGCAAAAACTGGACCCCTTGCAGGTGATGGCCAGTGCTCGTGTCCGCTCGCCACCTGCAACTGCACAGGCACTGGATATTGCACGGTTTGGCATCAACAACATATTTGCCAACAACTGTGTTTGGCATTGGGCTAGCATCTTGAGACGTTATCTCACCTGGAAGCACTGAGCTTGTCCAATAGGGTGCCACAAGAAGAAACCATGGTATCCGTCATTTGGCGCACCCCCCATCGGATCCCATAGATCGAGTCCTCCCAATGCCAGGGCAGCCCTCGAGCTAGTCCGGTGAATCAGAGAGGACAGGGGATGAATCAGATCTCCCTACTTGGCCATGCCGCTGAGAACCAGCTTCGTTTTCTCCGTGGTATGGAAAATAACATGGCAAACATTCTTGACAGCTAATTAGATTGGCTAAATTATGTGGAATCTTCATATGAGAGATAGAGAGAGAGAGATAGATAGATTAGATTAGATTAGATTAGATTAGATTAGATTAGATAGATAGATAGACAGATAGATAGATAGATTAGATAGATACATAGATAGATACATAAAGGATAGGTAGATAGATAGATACATAGATAGATACATAAAGGATAGGTAGATAGATAGATAGATAGATAGATAGATAGATACATAGACAAATAGACAGGATAAGGTAAGGTAAGATAAGGCAAGCTGCAATAAGATACCATACGATAAGATAAGATCGGATAGATGGACAGATAGCTAGCTAGCTAGCTAGCTAGGTAGGTAGGTAGGTAGGTAGATAGATAGACGCACACACACACACATGCATATAATATACATGTGCAAAGGGGGTTCTTACAGCAACTGACTCGCAATGTTATGATGTGAGGACGCGCCCCGGAGAACTTTTCCATGACCATTGGGGCAGGGACGGCAGGGAGGCCTGGTGAAAGGTGATGCAAGGGGCGATCAGGCCAGGCATGAAAATTTTGACCAAAACCACCGCTGTTGATCGGTTATTGTAGGCATTGTAGGGCTTTGCACTGCCGAGTTTGTTGATGTTTATTGAGGATTGTGTTCCCTTATTGCTGTGGCATTTTGGGAATCCTTTGGTCGCATGTCTTGCTTGAATCTCTTCTGTCCATCCATGAGTAGCCTTGTGCCCATGATGACAGAATCAGGCTGCAATCACGTGCTGGCGCTCAGATCCGACTTTTTCGGTGGCATTGGTTTGTTGCAACTATCAAAACCAATTCCTCCGCAATTTGCAGCGCTAAGTGGATGTGAGATTTCTCGCAAGATGTCTTCCGGTTTGCGGGTGGTTCTTTTGTTTCCTCTGGTCTTCCACCCCAATTGGGATGATGATCCCATTTGACTTTCACATTTTTGGTGAGTGAAACCAAGCAGCCCCTTGCAGGCAAGGCGTTTTGACGCCTCAGCAGACGGTGCAGACCGCTGGTGCTTGCATCGCTCCAGGCATTGTGACCCCAAAACTGGAGCCTACAACCCATCAGTTGGGGCGTCCATCGTAGATGATGCATGTTGATGGATGGTGACAGCAAAATTTCATATGTAATTTCTAGCTTTCAACGTTTTCCTATCCGATTCTATCTATTTTGGTGGTTGCTACACTTGCTTCGGGAGATCCCCTATTTTAACGGCAGTGCTGAGGACATGTTGTGGTGCAAGTGACATTTGGAATGCAGCCACTGTTGTCTCTTTGTGCCATGGATGCAGGGCGAAGTGCCGCTGGCCCGTCCCAAAGCTCAGTTTCTTTGGGAGAGCTGAGAATGATGGCTTTCAAAATCCAAAAGACTCAAAATTTCAACTTGGTGTGTCAATGATCCAAGCGGACCCTTCTACAACCTTCAGGGGAGAATAGAATTGCTGCACTCAGGTAGAGTACAATCAATATCTTCCCTTTTAGTGATTTTAGTGCAGCCATCTACCCTGGAACCATGTTTGGGAATATCAGAGAAATCTTTGAGAAACATTAAAAAACATGAATGGCAATCCATCCTTGGGAAGATCGTAAACTTTGGGTAAAAAAATCTGCGGGTAAATACCTGACATTTTCATAGAAACAACAGATTTACACTCTGCTTGTTTTACGTAGCTATAGAAAGTTGCCATTTATTTTTTTTTACAAAGTTTATAAAAATGATGATTTACCACTTTACCATTTACCTAAGCTATAAACAAATGGTGATTTTCCCGTTCGCGAAGAACCATATTTCCTCATCCCGGGTATCTCACACGGACCAAGGCCTGGAGAACGTCCAGCTCCAAGGGCTCCATTCCAAACAGGTTCCATTCGTTGAACAGACGTCGTAGTTGTTATAGGTCAAAGGCTGCAAGTTATATAAATAGATCTTGTAACATATCAATTATAAATCAGGTACATATCATATATGATATATGTCTAGTATATTATAGCGGTCTATGACTGTATATGCTTTATAATACACTCCAATATATGTTTATTGTGTGTGATACATGTATGTATGTGCTATCCGTATCGTACTTGTGCACTCATGGTTCTTGGTGATACTTAGATGCTTGTGATGAGTCACGACCCACAAGTCGGACTCCTGAGCCGCTGCCTGCAAAACAGGCCCCACGGCCACGCTGGGAATCTCCAGCCGAAAAGCGCCGCCAGGGGCGCAGGGGGCGGGGACTGGGGATTGACCAGCCCATGAGCTGTTTTCAATGGATTTCAAATGATTTCACTACAAAACCAACAGCATCAACAGCTCACCCATCTGAAGCCGCGCGCAGGAAATCCAGATGCAACTTGCGTCAATTTGCTTAGGCCTCCATCGGTCCGTCGAACCTTCACTAATGTGCCTTCGGTTGGGTACTCAGGATGCTATCCGGAAGCCAGGCCTGCCAGAAAAGGAATGGAATTCTCTTCATGGGATGTTGGAGATTGTATATCCATGTGTTGACATATATGAATATATATATATATATCTCTCTCTCTCTCTTTCAAGATCAAACATATCAAGCCTTTACCTTCTGGAACTTTTGGTGCAAGTTCATCTCTCAAATGCAGGTGCGACTTCCCCGTGTTTGCATTTCGAGGCTGTTTGGCCAACTGGAACAGCCCTTCGGTCCAGTGGGGTGCTGAGACAACTACCGGCCATTGGCAATCCTACCAGCTGAGATCATCCTGTTGATGCAGACCTGAACATTTCAATCAAAACATCCACATGTCCCTGGAGGAAGTATAGCACCCCACAAAAAGATAGAAAAGTAGTAGAAAAGTAACATCCTACTGAATTGGTCCTTGTTGACCGCGGAATAAAGTGCCGTTTATTGTGAGTTCAAGATTGCAGATACATCATTTGCATGTATTTGATTATATTTTCAGTCAGGGTTTGGGGTTGGGGGGTGTGGCAAGAGCATCCGCTATTACCCCACAACACGATTCTTTGTTTTCATTGGATTTGGGTTGGGGTTTAGGGCGGTGGGGCAATAACATCGGCTACATGATACCTCGCAAGAACGGTGTTTGTCTCATTGCTACGCGGATTGCCCCGCCAGCATCCACTTCCTTAGCTTTGTTGGGGCTTTATTGATGTTAACAGATTTATATTCTGCTGCAACATGTTGAAACCACCCATCTTATCATTTCTATCGGGGTTGGTGAAGGAAGTATCGTTTTTTTTTGCCAAAGGATGAGCACATCGAACATCGCAGTCTGTGATCATGGCTGCAACAGACCGAACATCGCAGTCACGGAAGGCCTTTTGACCTCATTCCCCAATTGATGTGTGATGCTTAACATAACAATATTGAAGGTTGAATCTTGATGACACATGTCAAACACCTCTGCATGTCAAAGATGTCCAGATTGGGAAATGCCAGAAAGAAATGATCCTAAAACAATGCGTCGATTGCATTTGGACAAATGACATGATGAACAAGGATCCTGTGCAAGTGCAACAAACACGTGAAACTGAAACTACTTGCAGCGAATTTGACCCGAAAAGTGGCCCAAGAATGGACAACGTACTTTTCCGTTTTTTTGGGCTTTACTATAATTTGAACTAAAGTTTGCAGGTCCTTTGTGCCCCAGACATGTGCAGTCGTTGCTCCATCTGAGGTAGTGCAGATAGAAAATCCTTGCACGTGCGCAGCTCTGGCACTAGAATTCGGAGCTTCTCTCCAGAGCCGAAAGGAATGGCATACGTTTTATCTCCCCTCGCATGCTGAAGCCTTCAACGTTTGCAGGTTGGGTTGGACATGGATACTGTCACATGTGAAGCAAGTTTCAAAGCACCAGGAGAACTTACCACTGAAATGGCCGGATGCACTTTCAACATTTGTCGAACTACATCAAGTCACCCCTGGCTTTACTGCAAAGTGCTTCCTCCGCACTTAGGTTCAGATTCCAGGCACTTTCAGGGCGCAATCTTTTGATCTGTAGCCTCTGTGGAAATTTGCACCAGGAAGTCTATAACAAGCTGAATGATGTTCCTATTGTTCAATGCGCAGACCGGGGATCAGATGTGACACCAGTCCATCACGCCATTCCGGCATTTCGCCTTACGCTGGGGTCCGTTTGGGACTTTGGGACACAGGCACAGCGCCCACAGGGAGGCAAATCTCCAACTCTGTGTGGGGGGACTTGGTGGTGCAACCTGGACAATGATCAGCTGTGGCAAAGGGCGCTGTTGAGGAGGATACCATCTAATTACCAGCTGATGCCTAACATGTTTTGCTCCTGCTTACCTTTGTTGTTTGCAGGATTTTGACAATATAGGTGCTACAAACGCTTCGGTGGTTAGGCTTCGCCTTGAAACAATCTTTGTTCAATATTCCGATCCTCATGGTAAACCCAAGGGGAAGAAAACCATGCCTGATTGTATTGAAAACCATGCCTAAGAAAAGGGGTTTGCTATTGACCATCTCATTTCTCTATCCCAATGAAAAATCATGATTGCAATATATTGCAATGATAGTACTGCATAATCATGACTACCATGATAGTGTTCATGATCAATTGGGTAGTTTTACCAAATGAGCTCACATTGACCACCCCAATTTTCCTCGCTCATTTGCTCATCGTTCCCTTTGGAAAGGTCGCAGGATCTCCAGTCGCTGCCTGCGACGGCTCGGCGAATGAGTCCGGGCGGATAGATCAACGGCGTTGCGGTGTGGGCCAAGGTGGTGGTTTTCCTATAGCATGGGGGCCCCAACATCATCCAGTTTATTGGTGATTTGGGGAACCCCCAATTTCGAGATCACCCGCATGCGATGATATGTGATGCCCACAAGTGGGAGTTTTTCTAGGAAAAAAGAACATTGTGGGAGTTCAGGGCACCACGTTTTTGACAATTGTTGACCCATTCCAAAATTATAGTTCCTGAAAGAAAGGCTTGAACAACCAAGGAAACAAGGGCTCTTCATTTTGGAACACTGGCATGTTTTGTTGATCTCATTCAGTATTCATGGTCAGATCCCATGAATGAGGGCTTGGGACTTGGGCTTGGACCACGAAGCATCAGACTTACCATCCCGCTTGAGTGCAAACTTTGCCAGAATGACTCATGGCTCACATCCTGAGGTCCTACACGCCCAGCCCGACCTGTTGGCCCTGTCAACAAGCTGGGCGCATCAGCTGTCAGCAGCTCAGTGCTTGGGGATGCGCTTTGGGCCGCCATGTGCTGGTCGCCTAGGCAGCTCCTGTGCGGTTGCAGCCCAGTACTTCGTTGGAGCCCTGAATGGCCAAGTGATATTTGCAGGACACAGTGACAGGAGAGCGCTCTCCACACAGAAATTGGAAGTTCTTCTCAGTGTTTGCTGAGGTCAATGTTGGCACCTGCAAAGGCACCCCACGGCTGTTACTAACCAGAACCGTGCAGGACCGTGCAGATTTTTTTGTGGCATCCTCCAGCTGAAGTACTTCATGGCACGTCCAACTCAGTCATAATACGGCAGCTTGTTTGTTTGAAAATGAGGCACGGTACCCCAATATCCCGGTTGATGATCGCCTTCCCATCAATATCTATCAATATTGATATGAATACACCCAAATACTCCACGTAACCGAGCATTTCAGTTGTTTGGGGTCAGTGTTCCTTTTTTCATGGTCAACCCCCATTTCCTGATTTTTGGTCTCATGGGTTCCCCCTCCTGTAACCCTACTTTCATGATGCCCCGCCAGGTGCCTCCAGTCTCCAGCCTGGTGAATGGCAGACGGGACGAGCCAGATGAGGTTGGAATAGGGAGATGGATCCAGGTGGTTCCGTGGTTCAGGCTTTCTGACCCATTTCTTGCGTATAATTGACGATCGAAAATTTCGGCACCCCGCAAGTTTGGGGATGTCCCAATCTGGTTGATGGTTTCTTTTTTCTTTTGCATCCTATTTGCGATGATGTTCCCCATAGGCAAATGTTTTTCATGGGCATTGAAACGCCGCCAGCAATGGCTTGACCCATCTTGTACCTTGGGTGTTTCGAGGTCATCCTGCGGCAAGTGACCAAGCTGCAGAACTCCTTGATGCAGCAGATTGAGAGTCCATGCGCCCAGTGAAAGATGGCCAGACCAAATGCACCATTACTTGGATTTGCTGAGTCTATGTTTTTTATTTTCAATCAGTTTACCCAGTATTTGGGGAATCTACCAGTCTCTTTTTCATAACATCGTTAAGCAGATCCAAGACGAGTGACTATACCATACCATACTGGAAACATTTGGAGACATCATTCCTGGGATGGTGGGAGGCGACTGGGTGCCAGCTTTCAGGCTTGTCCTGTGCTGAGGTACCAAGCAGCAGATTCAGAGGTACGGAGGGCTGTCGGAGCTGGCTTTCAGGTCAGTGAAGAATAGTAGCCGCTTAGTAGCCAGTAATTTGGTTGCTTGCTTGTGAGCTATTCTGCGTCCTTTCTTGGCATTTTTGCAGCTCTGGTTCCAAGGCAAATCAGGCTTAGGATGTAGGTCCATTGGATCTCTTACACTCCTCAGAATAGAACTGAGTGGGTTGACGCAATTTGTATGTAGGATTATAAAAGCATCACTTTTCTGGCCGCTTACTTTTTCAGGCAAAGCGCATTTGGTGCAAAAGCCGTGAACGGACTGAATCCGCAGGCAGGATGCAGGGGCAAGATGATGTGACAAACTATCAGGACTATCAACCTAGATTCCTGGACGAAAAGTCGACAGCTCAGGCAGTCGCTGCCATGACGGGTACTGCTGCCCCACGGCTCCGGGCGGCCCCGGCACCGGGCATGCCCGCCGCTGCGCCCGCCCGCGTGCCGGCAGCACCGGCATCAGCACCGGCATCAGCACCGGCATCAGCTGTGCCGGAACCGGAACCGATGCCAGCAGAGCCTGTCCCGGTTCAGCTGGCGGAGGTCGGATCGCTGACGCTGCCAGTGAATGAGGTGAAGCGGACGGAGGTTCAACCAGAGGATGGGAAGTTGGCAGCTGCGTTGTTCAATGGCCCGGGGCTCAGAGCGGCTCAGGTACTGGCCAAGACAGACCGACAGCACGTGATGCTATTTGCATATTGATTGGTTTTGGCGGTGATTTCTTGAACCTTCACAGGGCTGGTGCATGCTGGTGCTGAGGCCAAAGCCCTTCCAGACTTGCGGCTGCAAGGTGCCCGAACCATTTCTTTTTTGCTGCTTTGAGGATTGTTTGTCACTACTTTTTTTTGCCGCTGTTTCACGTTATTATAATTTCATTGCAAGGCATAGGACAAAGACTGGTTACTGTAATTCAGGCCATCAGTTTGGCTTCTGTTTTTTTAAATCGGAAAATCATGGAAAATCCATCTGTGAACGATGGGCTTTCTTTTCTTTTACTCATTTTACTCGTTCTTGATTGTGCACGGATGTTAAGGGAATCCTCATTCCCACGAGACGGAAATTTCGCCAAGATGTTCGGCGTCCGGTAATACAAAGATACAGGACCAAGAAGGATCACCCAGCAAAGCTGAATTGTTTGATGGAAACAAAAACTAGCCATTTTGTCTGTCCATCATTGCCCCAAATTTTGAGCCATGAATAATAACAGCCTTTCCGGCATGAACTCCTGACCCAAGCGCCATAGCATCAGGATCCAACGTGCTTGGCGACGGAGACGGAGGCTTGGGTGATCAGCATGGCCTTGGGAGATGGAGATGGTGAGCAAACTGGGTCACTGGGCTACATTGCCCTAGCGCTGCCAGGAGTCGTGCGAAGGGTCCAGAAGATCCTTGCGTGGAGCGGTCCCCAGACTATCCCAGAGTTGGAGTGGAAAAACGGTGTTGCACACCGAAGGCTCCAAGGGCTTGATGACCCATTATGTGGCTCATCCCCAAGCTGTCACGGACATTCCCTGTTCACCGCGAAACTCCATGAGATTATACCGTGATTTTACCATCAGCTTATTCCATGCACTAGAGTTCATCATTGTTCCTGTGCTATCAGAAAAATAGCTAAGAACCCCCTGGTTCACGAACTTTTTTTTTTGGGGGGATTATATACCATATTATACCCCGAATAACCACTAGTACCCTCTGGCAAACTAACATAGCTATGGAAAATCACCATTTTTCATGGGAAAATCCACTATGAATCACCATTTTCAATAGCTATGTAACAAATTACCAGAGGGTAGTCACCTCTGAATAACCACTAGTTCCCCATTTGATTCCCATGGCTGGCCTGACCACCGCCGCAGGCCAAGTTAATGCCCAAACACTTCGCCGCTCAGCGCATCCAGCGGGCCTGGAAGATTAGTCGATGGCGACGTGTCCAGGGCCCAGCGGGCGAGCGGGGTTAGACCTTGGTCTACCTTGGGAATACGATGCCATACGACTTGTTTGTTTTTTTTGTGCCAAATGAGGGGAGATGGTATGTAGATTGTATATATATATAATGTCATTTATAACAATAATAGTAACACACACACAAACACACATTATACGTATATATATACACTCATTATATTCCACCAGACATATTTTGATGGGGGATATGGTTAATGATAGAACATGCAGTTTTTTGGGGGTATCGTATTTTCAGACAAACCCATTTAGACCAGCATGGGCAAGTGGATTTTGACCAAGCCTAGATTATTTTGATTGGTTGTAAAAGGGAATCTCTCTATATAATCTTCATATTTGTCAGCAATGTATTCTTCACAAGTCTTTGTTCATTTGGCCGCTGTATGCGGCGCAAAGTTCATGTGGAATCATGTGGAGAATATTTCAGAAGGGCTTACAACGGCAAACTTCTTGAAAGCTTGACATTTGGCAGTTTCAAAGTTTCCATCACAAGTTTGGAGGAGTGATGTTGCAATCATCCTTGACAGCATTCAGTATGGCTCCAGATTCACAAGCAGGATGTGATCGTTGTGGTTGAAGACAAAAAGATACAGAAGAAACTCTGTGAACTTTGAGCCATTGTTTTTGATGTTGACAATACTAATGCGGGGATTGTTGTGCAGTAATGATGATTCCAATTGAGTTGATTTATTCATTTTGATTAGTGACATTCCCATTGATATATCCCGATTGCACCCCCTTGTCTCATGGGTTTGTCTGAGAATGGAAACAACGGTATCCAGTGAAAAAAAAACAACGAATAATCCACAAAACGGCATATATTTTTTTGCTTCAAACATACGTATATATTTAAGTATGGCCCGCGCACACACACAGATAGATAGATGGATGGATGGATAGATAGATAGATTAGATTCGATTAGATTAGATTAGATTAGATAGATAGATTAGATAGATTAGATAGATTAAATAGATAGATAGATAGGATAGGATAGGATAGGATAAGATAAGATAAGATAAGATAGATAGATAGATAGATAGGTAGATAGATAGATAGAGAAATAGATAGATAGGTAGATATAGATAGATAGATATAGATAGATAGATAGATAGATATAGATAGATAGATATAGATAGATAGATAGGATAGGATAAGACAAGATAAGATAAGATAAGATAACGTAGATAGATAGATAAATAGATAGATAGATAGATAGGTAGATAGCTAGATAGATAGATAGAGAAATAGATAGATAGGTAGATATAGATAGATAGATTTAGATAGATAGATATAGATAGATAGATATAGATCGATAGATATAGATAGATAGATAGATAGATAGATAGATATAGATAGATATAGATAGATATAGATAGATATAGATAGATATAGATAGATATAGATAGATATAGATAGATATAGCTAGATATAGATAGATATAGATAGAAATAGATAGATATAGATAGATATAGATAGATATAGATAGATATAGATAGATATAGATAGATATAGATAGATATAGGTAGATATAGATAGATATAGATAAATATAGATAGATATAGATAGATATAGATAGATATAGATAGATATAGATGGATATAGAGTAGATAGATAGATAGATAGATAGATAGATAAATAGATAGATAGATAGATTGATAGATAGATTGATAGATAGATTGATAGATAGATTGATAGATAGATTGATAGATAGATTGATAGATAGATACATAGGTAGATAGATAGAAAGATAGAAAGATAGATAGACATATAGACAGATAGATAGATAGATATCTAGATAGGTAGATAGATGGATAGATTGATGGATAGATAGATAGATAGATCGATAGATAGATAGATAGATTGATAGATAAATAGATAGATAGATATAGATAGATAGATAGATAGATAGATAGATAGATAAATAGATATGGATAGATAGATAAATATAGATAGATATATATTAGATAGATAGATTAGATAGATAGATTAGACAGATAGATAGATTAGATAGATAGATTAGATAGATAGATTTGATAGATTAGATAGATAAGATAGATAGATAGATAGATAGATAGATTAGATTAGATTAGATTAGATTAGATAAGATAGGATAGATAGATAGATAGATTAGATTAGATTAGATTAGATAAGATAGGATAGATAGATAGATAGATCAGATCAGATCAGATCAGATCAGATTAGATTAGATTAGATCAGATCAGATTAGATTAGATTAGATTAGATAGATAGATAGATAGATAGATAGATAGATATTATATATATGTTGAAGAGCAAGGAGTTCACCAGGTAAAAGAGCTGGTGCCTAACAAAGCAGCCCAAGGTAGGCGTAGTCTCCCATGTAGGTTGCCTAGGGTGACGGGAGGGCGTTTCGTGCTGCCCAACCATCAGCAGAAAACATCCTGGGGCATGTTGTCGTCTGATACAGTTGCTCAAGGTCGCAGCACACTGCTGTTCTCTCCATTCTGCCCTGGCAAGGGTGCACGAATCCTCCGCAGCAGCCGCTGAAGAGCAAGGAGTTCACCAGGTAAAAGAGCTGGTGCCCAACAAAGCAGCCCAAGGTAGGCGTGGCGTAGTCCACCTTTGCCAAAGCCAGCCAGACGAAGTGGGCGAGCTCACGCAAGAAGCATGCGCGATTTCCGAAGGTCTGGGGATCAAACATCTGCTGCAGGTAAAAGAGGAAAAGCTTTGGCCGCAGCATTGAGGGCACGCCGGGCTTCGAAGGTCATACCAAGGATAGCGTCGAGTGAAACTGTTTCTTGCACTCCGGAGTCACCTGGGACCGCAGCCTCATAGTCCACATAATGTTCTGCACAGCAGCACCTCGTCTATAGGACCAGACAGCAAAACCTCCTCGAAGACCACCCGGCGTCAGCATCTTACACTACACTACACTCCACTACAACTACAACTACAACTACACAACTACACAACTACACTCCGCTACACTCCACTACACTCCACTGCACTCCACTACACTAAATTGCACTACACTAAATTACACTACACTACACTACATTACACTACAGCTATAACTACAATTACACTCCACTACACTAAATTACACTACACTACACTACATTACACTACACTACACTACATTCCACTACACTCCACTACATTCCACTACATAGAATGACACTGCACCACAGATAGACAGGTAGACAGATAGACAGATAGATAGATAGACAGATAGACAGGTAGACAGCTAGACAGATAGACAGATGAAAGAGAGAGAGAGATAGATAGATAGATAGATGGATAGATAGATAGATAGGTAGATAGATAGATGGATAGTAGATAGACAGACAGACAGAAAGATAGATAGATAGATAGATAGATAGATAGATGGATAGATGGATAGATAGATAGATGGATAGATAGATAGATAGAAAGATGGATAGATAGATAGATAGATCGATAGATACATAGGTAGATAGATAGGTAGGTAGGTAGGTAGGTAGGTAGGTAGATAGTCAGAGAAAGCGAGAGAAAGAGAGGAGACATCAGAGACATCAATCACCTTTCGATCCATCAGTGGCTTCGCTCTGCCATCCATGATTCACAACAACCAACCTTTCCTATAGGTTTCCTATTTTTGAAACTTCCGCCACCGCCTTGTGCGGTACTACTGGTAAGTATATGAGTGCATGTGATAAGATATGCATATGCATCACCATTATTATCCCATCATTATCCCACAATTGCTGGTTCTACACCCATTAGTTGCATCCTTCCTTTTTTGTCAGGTCTTTACAGCCGACTGCAAGCGGGAGTTGGGTGGGCTCCCAAGACGCGCTACCATCAATTGGGTGCCCAAAAGGGGAATCATACCACACATGGGCAATTCTAGGAGGGAAAATGATGGATAATGAGGATCAATCATTAACATTTAACTTGGGTGTGCGGGACACCATGGGCAGACCCATTTCTCATGCCGGTGAAGGTTGGTTGGGCTCTCTAGATTGGCTGCAGCGGCACAACATGCTCTACGGCACCGAGTTGGCAGAGACTGAGGAGCGGGGGTTGCAGAGGGTAAAATGGCTAATTATATTGTTTATTGGGTTTACCTCATTAGACCAAGTTGGGCACCTGGAAACTCTTCGAAATTATACCGTAAACATATGATATACATAACATCCTGGAACAATTTTTTCTTTAGGGTCCCCAGACATCGAATAAAGTGGATGTTTTCTCTTGGTAGTTGCTGAAGAATCTGTGCGAAAACACGGTGGCACCAGGACCTCGAATGGTGGTATCATCAGCAAGCAGGGGCCGATGGCCGAGCCACAGACGAGTGGTGATTTGAAACTGTTCCCCAAGAACTCCAACAGAGAAGGGCATGCTTGAGTTGCAGTCTGCCTTATTATGATCCCATATCAGCCCATTTAATCCCATAGATATCCTTTCTCATTACGGTCACTGCGGTGATGTCAGTCTCAACATGCACGCAATTGCTGTTGAGATCCAGGGTTTTGATGGCTGAAATCACTAGGTTAGACTGCCAGGCTTGTCAGTCCCCACCCCACTCAAATCGCTGGTACATGGACCATTACTGGACCATTTGGACCCGAGGCTCCGTTGGACTATGAAGTGGATCCTTGGGGCTGTCGAAAACTTCGGGAGCACCTAAATAGGACGGCTCCTGTGGCAGGTGGTTGCTGGGATGCTGTCCATGGCCAGTAACTGGGGGTACACCTGGATTTTTTTGCTAGCAAGAGACAAAACATTATATGCTTCAGGAGTCAAAATAATCAAAGCCTCATTTTTGTGTTCAATTCTCGGAGATGGCTTCCAGATCAATGCTTTGAGAGCCAATGAGCTGAACCCAGGTCATCCCTTCCTCATCATTGAACCCAACTTGATCTGCGCAGGATGTGGTTCGGTGCTGCGTCGCCGGAAGGCTATGAAGCCAAAGACGAAGCGACGTTGCCGGTGCACCCGGCGCAGCCGCGGACCTCGCAGACCAACCCCGCCGTGCCCGTGGCCCAGCGGCCCCAGAAGCGCGCCTCTCTTGGCGCCCCACGCAGTTTGGCGTTGGGGGCCTTGGCAGCTGGGCCACGACCGGTGGGAACTGCGCGGAGTTTGGTGGCACCTGTTGCAATACCCATGGCGGGGCGCCCCACGCCCTTATCAAGCACAATCTCACCGCGGGTGGAGGCGTGAATGTGTGGGAGATGGGCAAGCTGCAAGGCTGCAAGCACCTACAAATACCTTTGGGTGATGGTGAGTGATCAGGTGATAAGGTGATGAGGGAGCATGATGCTGTCGAGCTGAAGGCTTAACATGGCTTAACAATTTTAGACTCTTCAATTTCACCTCATGTCCTGTAGTATCCTTACAGTAGCTTCCAGATGTTGCAGCTGCCAATTCTGAGTGACCTGACAGGGGCGTCACATTCTGAGTGCTGACCCCAGAAAGATTCAGAAGATGAGTTTCAAGGCCTCTTGTGTTGCTCCGCCGAACACCGACTAGATACCCCTGGCTTTCACTTGCACTCCCTAGGACCTTCACAGGGCTGGATTTCTCTACGTATGGGCCATTTGGTCAACTAACATGGCAACAGAATTCTCGCGATGTAAAGGTGATTTCTTTGTGAAAAATGAGGGGGTTCGCATTCATGGTGATCATGAATGCCAATCATGACTATGTTCATTTCTGGCAGAGAGTAGTTGTGTCAGCCCGGGCTACCTTTTGTGTTGTCTAGTATCGATTAAACGAAACTACTTTCATGGCGATTCAACATGATTCAACTTGATTCAACCCCCAAAAAGTTGACCGCCCCAAGAATAGATGGTTAATGGTGGATATGGTGGTTGGTAGTTGAATCTATTGTCAATATGAATTGCTGGTAGCAGTTTCGTAACAGCTTACCCTGGCAAGGCGTAGGGTAGTAGGGGCTCTCCGGCTTCACCAAGGCGCTTCTGTGACCACATTACACCGGTGTGCTTCGCCTCTGTTCGGGGAGCTCAGCAAGTATGGCATGGTTTGTGGGCTTCCAAGATCTTGGGATGGTGATCTCAAGGGCTAGTTTTTTTTTGGGGGGGCGGGTTGCCAACCAATCAGTATCTATATCTTTATCTGTATCTATATCTGTATACAAACACCTCAGTATGTGTACCATGATTTTTCCTGCAGACCTATGACGTAAATCTGCACCAAAAGAGCTCGAGTCGGACCGCACTTCGGGAGCTTGGCATGTTGCTTAAGTATCGGCAGCCAGGATAGGCCATTTGTGACAGTATGCCCAGTCTTGGTGTGGCTTTGTCTGAAGAGCGCATCCCAATTCCAAAGGATTATAAACAAAATTCCCTGTTAAAATGACAACGTTTAGGCTATCGTGTATCATTTTTGGAGAAACCTATGTCAAATTGTTTGGTATATTCCCCTTATGCCCCTGCATATCTCATCCCCCTAATATACCCCCCCCAGAAACTATGATTTCGTCGGGGATTTCACATATTTGGGACGATTGGGGGGTTGCTAATTTGAGGGGCGAAGGACCTATGGTTCGTTAAACATGGCTCCCCCTATGCTTGGAGAAACCTATGGGGATATGGAAACGATGTCACCAAGGATGAGCCGACGGCCTGGTGGTGCGCCTGGTATACCTGGCCGTCTGGCAATGGGTGCAACCACAACGTCTCCAATTGCAGCTGGGAACTCAGGATGTTGGACTGGGGGATTGGAAGGTGCTTAGTTTTAATAGCAGTGGGTTTAACCATGAAAAATGGTGGTGAAAAGGGATAGCCAATCGGACAGTTACTTCCACCAGTTTTGGGGACCCAAACTGAATAGATCCAGTACTAAATCAGTGAATCAGGGTTTCTGGGGGGTATCTAATGTTACTTTTAGGGGGATGGGAGTAACCCCCTGCTACGTAGAGAGAAGGAAATCATGAAAAAGCATCCACAAATGCGAACTGATTTCCCTTTCAATTTTTCCCTGCACTAGCGGTAAGACAGGTACAGTATGTCACTTTGCCATTCTCTGCAAATGTATTGCTACGGCTGCTACGAGAGCTATTTGACCTCAAAGCTGTGTTTAGGGCAACTTTCAGCTCATTCGTTTTTTCCGCGATGAAGGGAGCTGCGAAAGATGGGATGGATCCAACCATGGACATGAACATCAAAAAGCCATCGATGCTGGAATTTATGGGCCTGGCCGGCAATTTCGGACATCTCAATCTACGAGACCCCTTCGACGTGAAAAAGCGTGGGTCAACTTATGTCACTGAGATTCGGGCAGGCCATGGGGGGGTTTGACGGTTTGACTATCTTTATAAAGGAAAGGTGGAATGTGTGCATACAGGGCTCCCCTACGAGTCTATGTTTTTCTGCTTGGAATGTCCTGCTTGTTGACCGTAGACATTGGGGAACTGCGCAGCCAGGGTCATGCCCACATTAAACAATCACTAGGTGTTTGAACTCACTTGCTATCGGTGTGCTGATGCAATAATCTCAGCCTCGGAGTAATGAATTCCTGCTCATTAGTCAGAGGTGACCAATGACTTTTCATATGGAAGCCCTCCACTTAAACAACCCAGATGTGTATTTGTTGACATTGCAGATTACATTCCAAAGAGGTCCTCAAATTACTCACCTTGCCATGGCGTTTCAGGAATCACCACTTTCCTGGCGATGGCGTACATCCTTCCAGTGAACAGCGGAATGCTCAGCTTGGTCATTCCCGGCAAACGCGAACAGCTCGTGTGTGCCACAGCCCTGGCATCCTTTTGTGGCTGCTGGTTGATGGGCATCCTGTCCAACTACCCCTTCATGCTTGCACCAGGTGGGGGACCAGATTCACTTGAGCAATTTCTGGGTTAAGATTGAAGATGACTTGGGATCGCAGGTTGCTGATGTGGATTTTTTCATACGTGTTCAAACATTTTGATCTTTTAGAACTGCCACTTGTAACTCGTACCCTGGCATCTCAACGCAGACCCCCTACGGACCTTGTTCAGGCATGGGCACAAATGCCTTCTTCACCTTCACTATTTGCCTGGGACGAGGTTTGTCATACCAAGCAGCCTTCGCAGCAGTCTTCGTGGCTGGCTGCATCTTCATCACTTTGAGCATCACTGGCTTGCGAACTCTGATGATTCGGCTCTTCCCTGAGGGTGTCAAGGAGAGTATCTGATCTTGCGACAAAAGGACTTTGAAAGCGATGGAGGGAGAGATTTTGTCGGGCAGTTCTTGTTGGCCACCGGTTCTTCAATGAGTCGTGTCGGCTGGTTGACATCCGCCCAGGTATTGGCGCTGGGGTCGGCCTGTTCTTGTGCTTCATTGCATTCCAGAGCTCTGAAGGCACTGCCATGCCACCAAAACATGCCATATTCCGAGACAGATTCGTGGCCCCCAACGGACTGATCACGAATCAGATCCCTTAAACTTGGAGAACACTGGCAGCTAACCCAGCTAACCTCTAGAACTTTGAGCGCATCGGGTCCCATCATGTCCCATGTCTGAAGCATGTCTCATCTCTCCGTAGGTATGGGGCTGTCTGTGGCAGATCCGGCCACGTTGGTGACGTTGAACTCCTTGAGTCCCAGCAACTACGATTCTGCGAAGTGTCCCGCCATGATGTCAGTGCTGTCAGTGCTGTCAGACTCCCTGAAATATCCTGAAATGCATTTGCAACGTTCCAAACCTAGCTTGCTGTTCTCAGGGAGGAGCTTGAGTTTCAACATGAAATCCTTGTATGCATCGTCATTCTGAAATTGTCATGGCGATCCTGGCGACAATTGATTCACACAGATGAACTTAACATTTTGAAGTCCATAAAACTTGCAAACCATTTTTTAGATTGGAACCAACAACTTTCTTATTCAATACTGCCACTTGCGGGTTTCCGTCGCTCCTTTCATGTCATCTGGGACTTTGTGACGTGCGGCAGTTTGAAGGCAGTTTAACTGTTGGGTTTAGCAGTGATGTGTCCAGATCTGACGCGGGTAGATTCAGGTTGTGGCTCAGCATTGCAGTGCTCTGTGTCACTGCAACGTGGCTTGGAGTCATTGGAGATTGACTGCTATTGGCTGAGCCGTGAGCCGTGGCTGATTTGTTCATTGTTCTGAGTTCGGGCAGTGGAGTAGTCTTGTGCAGAGCCTCACATTGGCTGCGCTCACTGGAAGTTGAATCAGGTAGCCTGCAGATTTTTGGAGTTTCAGCGCCTTGCGGTGCAGTTGCGGGTCAACCGAGGTTGTTCGCCGCAAAAGTGCCTGGAGCCCCTTTGATGGGCATCCTTTTCGGGACTGCTGTCTGCTGGATCGAGGGCTTCTGCCGTGGAACCGAGCATTCCGTCTTTGGCTATCCGTTCGGAACCAACGGAGACAGGTGCATGGGCTTAATCGGAGTTTAAACCGGGTGGCATTTGTGATTTGCATACACTGTATACCATGGACTTGCGGCCTTTCAGGCAGTCTACCCCGTTTTCCCGATGGAGCATGTCATCAGACTCAAATGACTCTAGTGACTAGAACTTGTGCATCAAACCATGCATCTACCTACATATTGTATCATATTGTACATTCTGCAGACATGGAACGGACTGGAGGTCAGCAGAAGACTTCAAAATCTACGTGCCCACCAGCATCATTGGCTCGCCCTCCTTGGATGGTTTGTCTGGAGCACTCTGGGAGGGCTTCGGCGCAGCAAGCGACCCCGCCACCGCTGCAACGTTCTGGACTGCAGTGGCGACCTTCTGCTACACGGAAGCTCGGGTTTTGACCTTTTGTTACCTCTTGCTTGGCTGTAACATCACCTCCAGTTACAAACTGCAAATCGATGAATGATGATGAATGCACAAAAATGGAAACTAGCAATTCGGAAGCTGGAAGCAAGATCCTTTGTAATCCTTTACATGTCTGTCTGTCTGTCCGTCCGTCCGTCCGTCTGTCTGTCTGTCTGTCTATGTGTCTGTCCGTCCGTCTGTCTGTCTGTCTATCTATCTATTTATCTATCTATATCTCTATCTATCTATATCCATCTATATCTATCTATATCTATCTATATCTATCTATATCTATCTATATCTATGTATATCTATGTATATCTATGTGTATGTATGTATATCTATGTATATATCTATGTATATCTATGTATATCTGTGTATGCCTATGTATATCCATCTATGTATATCTATCTATGTATATCTATCTATGTATATCTATCTATGTATATCTATCTATGTATATCTATCTATGTATATCTATCTATGTATCTCTATCTATCTATATCCATCTATATCCATCTATATCTATCTATATCTATCTATATGTATCTATCTATATCTATCTATATCTATGTATATCTATGTATATCTATGTGTATCTATGGATATCTATGTATATATCTATGTATATCTATGTATATCTGTGTATGCCTATGTATATCCATCTATGTATATCTATCTATGTATATCTACCTATGTAAATCTATCTATGTATATCTATCTATGTATATCTATCTATGTATATCTATATATGTTTATCTATCTATGTATATCTATCTATGCATACCTATCTATGTATACCTATCTATGTATATGTATCTATGTACACAATATCTATCTATGTATATCTATCTATGTATATCTATGTATATCTATGTGTATGTATCTATGTATATCGATCTATGTATATCGATCTATGTATATCTATCTATGTATACCTATCTATGTATATGTATCTATGTATATCTATCTATGTATATCTATCTATGTAATTCTATCTATGTATATCTATCTGTGTAAATATTTCTATGTATATCTATCTATGTATACCTATCTATGTATACCTATCTATCTATCTATCTATTTATCTATCTATTTATCTATCTATCTATCTACCTATCTATCTATCTATCTATCTATCTATCTATCTATATCTCTCTATATGTCTCTGTATCTATCTTTCTGTCTATCTATCTATCTATTTATATGTATCTATCTATCTATCTATCTTTCTATCTTTCTTTCTTTCTATCTATCTTATCTATCTATCTATCTACCTATATCTACCTATATCTATCTATATCTACCTATATCTACCTATATCTATCTATATATCTATATATCTATATATCTATATATCTATATATCTATGTATCTATCTATCTATCTATCTTATCCTATCTTGTCTGATCTTATCTTATCTTATCTATCTACCTATCTCTACCTATATCTATCTATATCTACCTATATCTACCTATATCTACCTATATCTTTCTATATATCTATATCTATATCTATATCTATATCTATCTATCTATCCCTCTATCTATCTCTCTCTCTCTCTATCTATCTATCTATCTATCTATCTACATCTATCTATCTATCTATCTATCTATCTATCTATCTATCTATCTATCTATCTACATCTATCTATCTATCTATCTATCTATCTATCTATCTATCTACATCTATCTATCTATCTATCTATCTACATCTATCTATCTATCTACATCTATCTACATCTATCTACATCTATCTACATCTATCTACATCTATCTACATCTATCTACATCTATCTACATCTATCTACATCTATCTACATCTATCTACATCTATCTACACCTATCTACATCTATCTACATCTACCTACATCTACATCTATCTACATCTATCTACATCTATCTACATCTATCTACATCTATCTACATCTATCTACATCTATCTACATCTATCTCCATCTATCTACATCTATCTCCATCTATCTACATCTATCTACATCTATCTACATCTATCTACATCTATCTACATCTATCTACATCTATCTACATCTATCTGCATCTATCTACATCTATCTACATCTATCTACATCTATCTACATCTATCTACATCTATCTACATCTATCTGCATCTATCTACATCTATCTACATCTACCTACATCTATCTACATCTATCTACATCTATCTACATCTATCTACATCTATCTACATCTATCTACATCTATCTATCTATCTACATCTATCTATCTACATCTATCTATCTACATCTATCTATCTACATCTATCTATCTACATCT